CCTAGTATGGCCCATTAAGCAGTGCTTAAAGCATTCTGCTGATTTCCTAACCCAAACTCCAAAGTCCAAATTCCTCCAAACAAAAGCATGGGTGAAACTATCAAAGCAATACCTCTGCCCCTGCTGCCAACTTTTGTCTCAGGGCTTCTGTTGCTGTGAAGAGACACCATGGCCATGGCAACTCTTAGAAAGAAAAATATTTAATTAGGGTTGCCTTACAATTTCAGAGGTATAGTCTTTCATGATGGGATATGGTGGCATACCTACAGACTTGATGCTGGAGAAGGAGTTTCCAGTTTTACATCTTAATCCACAGGCAGTGGAAGCAATTATGACACTGGGCAGTATCTTAAGCATCTGATCTCAAAGCCTGCACCCACAATGATGCACTTCCTCCAATAAAGCCATGCCTTGTAGCAGTGCCAATCCATATGGAACCATTTCCTTTGAAACCGCCACAAGAGAAGATAACTGATGTGATCTCTAGTACCACTTAGAATCTAATTTTTCTTTCTTGGTGCCTCAGACTTCTCTATTCCAGAACTTGGCCATATGGCAATGCTTTTCTAGACTCTTATGATGCTAACAGCTGTTTGATAAAAGCTATCCTATGGAGGGTGCTGAGGTGTTCCCAGAGAGCTGTGATAAAATGCCTTGAGCTTAGAGCTGTGCCTTTGTCTGGTGCCTGTAGCCTCTGAATGGGAATGTAAATCTACTTAGTGACCCCTGAGTCCAGGGGTGGCTTGGTACCAGTCTCAGGTGTTCTACCTCTTTTGGATATTCATAAGATGACATCTTCATACAGCTATCATTTGATACTTCACACATATTGAGAAGAGGATCATCCATAGGCAGAGTATCAGATATTACTAAGATTACCAGCAAGACTATCACACTCATGAAAGAGAACCTTGCTGGTACCCAGAAGCCTTCTCACACTCTTTACCAACAGGCCCTTCTTCCATTTTTCCACCCCACTTTTTATTTTACTATTAAAAGAAAAGTGATACTGTCAATATGTAAACAATATCAAAGTTCATTGTGTTTGTGTATCACTCATGTTTGGGCACTTTTCCCAGCAATCCTTTCTCTATCAAGATTGTCATAAGGCAATTTGAGCACAGTAATTCACATAGTAAGGTGTGAGGCAGCTGTTTGTTCCCACACTGCTGAATAACTAACTAAATAAATAAAATAACTAATATAATAAAAAAAACTTCCTTGGCTTTTTCTGCAATCCAGTATCTCCTCTTCTAAGTTTGGTCAATATGTATGTATGTATGTGTATATTTTCTTTATTTTGATATTTCATTTTTACTTTACGTACATTATGTACTCCATGTGTGACTGCTGCCTTTGGAGGCTAGAAGGTGACACAAGATTTCCTGGAATGGGAGTTACAGGCTGTTGTGAGCTGCCACATAGGTTTTGGGAACCAAACCTGGGTCCAAGTGCTCTCAACCACTGGCCATCATCATAGCCTCTGCCTAGGCCTTCTTTACCTCACATACATTGTCACATTTCTACTGCACTGTGTATCTAGGCTCAACATCATTTTATTTTATGGTTGTAATGCTACTTCTGAAGCTGTGTGTTCCATTTGATCAGCACTGCTTGTGATAGTCACCCTAGAAGAAGCATTCATTCATTTTAAAATGGTTTCAGTCTCTGCATCTTTTACAAAGTTTCTTCTACCTTCTTGATCCCTTTCCTCATTATTTTAATCAGAAGTAAGTCAATAGTTTGGCAGAACTACTTCTCTAGTTTTCTTTTGACGTACAGGTATTCCCATGTACTTACTTGCACAGTGTTTTTGACATTGTCATTATAAAATTGTTTCCACAGAAGAGACATGAATCTGGGCTTTAAAGCATGCAGTCTGAATATGATGTCAGCTCCTTGGGCAAGTGATTTCATTCTCTCCATGAAATGAAAATAGTAAAAATTGCTATGTCAACATTGGAGAAGGTCATGAGATATCTTCTACGTACTCATGAAATAACTAGGACTCTGATGTCACATGTTCTTCAATAATTCAGCAAGTTGCATTTCCTTTTTTTTCTAAACCAAAATATTTATTTGTCTCTCTGTGTGATATGTGAATCCTGAGTGCTTGAGGAGGCTAGATGGCACTGACTACCCTGGAACTATAGTTACACAAAGTTGTGAGTCACCTAGTATGGGTGCTGGAAACTAAACTTGGCTCCTCTACAAAAGCAATAAGCACATTTAACCCCCATGCAAATTTAGGACTGTTTCGTAATGGGAAACACATGTGTGCATGTAGACATACTCACAGTCACATGCACACTATACCCCACCAATCAATAAGAGAACTAGTTTGAAACTCCCAGTCCCCATTCATTTTGAGTTTTATCTGTGCCCTTGGTTGTCCTGTGCTCTCTGTGTTTCACTCTAACCAGAGTGCTAGACTGTTGGATGTGTTCACAGCCTAGCTCAAGGGCTCATAACCCACAATGAACATGCCAGTCCCTGCAGCTCTCTAGAGAGAATATAAAGGATTCATCAACTTGTATAGAAAATACTATAGTATAGATATAAATACTTTGTTTTGGAATGGATTTTCATTTATTGATACAATTTAAGATCAATGTTGTGATATGTATATTTCTCTTCTTGTTTATGTATTGTGTTTATATAGCTCATTTAAAAATGTAATGTATAATTTAGTACAGATTTTAGATAGTTACCTATGATAGTAAAAACTTATAGCTAGGTGAGTTAGGTTTTCTAGAGATATAGAGATGTATTTGAGATAGATAGGAATTCTTCAAACCTTTCAAAGACCTACAGAATATGGCATTTAAAATGGTTTAGGGTTTTTCTTTATAGTGAAACATAATTGCTCCTGAGTCAGAAAGGAAGATGGACATTGAAAAAACTCGTTATAAAGTTTGCTTTCAATATGGCAAGACTAGCCATTTAAACAAGATACTGCTCTTTTCTGAACTGTTTGACTGCTGATTGAAGATGGACATTGCTACAGAGTTCCTGCTTCATGGAATAGTCTGCCAGACATTCTGCAGGACACAGAGAAAAGTGACTGACAAACTGCCAATACAAGAAGACAGTTTAAAGTTTCCTGCTTTGCTGAAGAGTCTGCCAGACACACTATGGCCTATGGGCTAAAGATGGAAGATTACAGAAGAACTTTGGTTGACTAACCAGGCAAGATGTCTCTGTCATTTCTAGAGTTTATATATTATCCTTCTGTGATCTTTGAAGGAGTTGAAGACAGTTATGTTTATAGTTTTAGATAAGTTAAAGATAGTTAAAGATAAGTTACATATAGGACTTTAGACTCACAAATATAGGATAGATGATAGAATAGTTTCTTCAAATCTTGCTAAATGTTAATGGACTAAATAGTGTTAACTGTGATTCTTATTTGATAACTATTATGTGATATATTCTGCTATGTTAAGGTTAAAACCCTTCTTTTTATTTATACAGAAAGGAGGAGATGATGGGAGAGGTCATTCTGTAAATATTTCTCATACTGGTTAATGAATAAAGCACTGTTGGCCAATAGGAAAGGAATATAGGAGGGGCTAAGAGACAAGGAGGAAATAAGAAGTAAAAAGAAAGAGTCAGGATGGAGAGCCTGGAGAGAACAGAACCGCCATTCCTCCGCTCTTGGTAAAAATGGGTTAATAATCAAGACAGAGCTAGCCGATTAAAAACTAGCACCTGGCCAATAACATTGTATCAAATACAGAGTCTCTGTGCATTATTTGGGGCTGGCGGCGTGGTGGCAGGACAAGACCAGGTGACGGGCAGAAAACCATACTCCTTACAAAATACTTTTTCCATTGCCCTCTGATTTCCAGAACCCCTTCAATTGCAATTGTAGACAAGAAATGACTGTGTGATTAACACAAGCCCCATCAATTCCCACTGTTGTCACCAGTGAGTGGAAGCTACAGAGCTTTTTCCATATCTCATTACAGTTGTTGCAGCGCCTCCCAATGTACTTTATTTTCATCATGTTGTTGGAATGGTAATAGTCATTAGATCTTTGCTACATTTTTTCTTTAGAGTATTAACAAGGGTAATATGTATTGTACAAGCTTATTTAACACTTCTGTAACTATACTTCATTTTAATACTGTTCAATTCTTTAGTAATACAACATATCCTATTTTATCCACTAAAAAAATATTGTACTGAAAGAGAGTTCAAGGTCTTTACAGAATTGCTGAAGGTGTTCACACTAATGTCACTTGGTTTGCATGTGAGATGCTCCCAAAAGGCTCACATGCTAGAACATAAGAACTGTCCCTAGCAGCCATGAGGCCTGGTGAAGGTCACTGTGGATAGGGCCTTTGAAAACTAGTTAGACTCTCTATGAGGTCACAAACCATTCCTATCAGAACAGATGGCCTTCATTTGCTAAAACTGGAGTCAAAATAGCCCCTCCTTCCCTCTGGCTCCTGTCAGACATTTTAGTCACAAAAGTTGGGGAGCTAGAGGCAAAGCCTTGCCTCTGGACATTCATTTTCATGTTCTTTGTGAGATTAGGGTCAGTGGTGGTCATCCTACATGTCCCTCAGGTCAGAAGTTTTCTAGTTTTGTTAGATGCTGTGCTTCCAAAAGGCCACATTTTGCAAATGAGGTGGTGATTCTGGGTTCTTTTTGGTCACTAGATGCCTGGAGTCCTTATGTTTGAGCAAATCATCCAAATCTCACTATAAAGATGAAATATAACCTGCTTTCTCCTTACATGTAGCCTGAAAGCATTGGCTCAGTAACCCTCATCACTAGGCACAGCTCCACTGATAACTGGTCAAATGGCTCTGCCAATCAAATTCTCCTGTCCTAGGCTTGGAATTAAGAAACTCACCCAAAGGAGGACCATGTAGGATGGGTGGCCAGCAGAGGCAGTCACTTCACTGCCCTATAGTACAGTAGATTAAAAGCCAGTGGCCATGCAGCTGGCCAGTGTTAGAGGTGTCAGGGATGCAAACTGATGTCCTCACTGGATATACTCTCAGGATGGACCTTCCACATTCTACCTGCCTTTGAATTCAAAATGTTACAGCCATATTGGAGCTGTTATTAGTTGTCCAATATCCTTTAAACAGTTCCCCTCATCTTGCTTCAAATAGTTGAAGGCTTTCCTTTTACATGTATAATAAATCTTGGTCTTGAGGAATTTTGGAAGGAATCAACTTTAGTTTGGGGAAGCCATTCCTGAGATTAGATAAAGTTTATCCTTTTCTAAAGGTTCCATTCAGTGTGTGTGTGTGTGTGTATGTGTGTGTTAATGTGTTGTTTAATGACAGAATGTGCTTTGCGAGTAGCATCCCTAGGTGTTTTGTCATTGCACAGACATCACAGAGTATATTGAGACACTCCTAGATAATACATGTATGCTCTGCTATTCTATTACATGTCTTCTATTGCACAGGTGATTGCTTATGGGATTATTATTATGATGTGCATGACTGCCAGGTTAGTTTGAACCATCAACTTTGCATAGCCTGCAATAATCTGAGAGCAAGGCCTCAATTGAGTAATTTCTTAGTTCAGATTGACTTGTGAGCATGTCTGTGGGTAATTGTCTTCATTGTTAATTGATGTAGGAAGGCCTGGACTCCTGAGGGTAGCACCATCCCTAGGCAAATGGTCATGGGCTATATTGGAAAGCTGGCTTTTGAGCCAGTAGGGAGCTTCCTCCATGCTTCCTGTTATATGTCTTTGGCTGTGTAATCACAGCATTTTTATCTCAGCAACAGAACTGAAAATAGGATGATGATTGTGTGTTCATAATATTTCACTAATAGAGGATAAGAATGTACTAATAGTATAGCCCATCTCTAAGGACATACCAAATTATATTATCCCTGCTTCCTTTTGTGGGCACTTATTTCCCACCCATTGTACCAGGGTTGGTTTGTGTGACAAACAGAAAAGGGCAGGATAGATAGTGGGTTATATTAAGTTATAAAAGGATTAAGTTTCCACACCTAGTGGTCTATCATTTCCTATCTCTTGGGTGAACAAGAGGGGACTCTGGCTGCTATACTTTGAGCAACAATATGGAACAGCTTATGCAGAATGAGCTTACAAGATTTTCCAATCCAATGAAGGACTGAGATGCTAGCTGGCAGCTTGCATGCAGCTTTATGAAAGACCTTCCAGTTGAATTGTTCCTACATTATCTTAGAATATGGGCATGATGATAAACATTTGTGGTTTTAAGTTGCTAATGATGCAGAATGGAGATATTGGTTGCACAAAAAGAGATGACCAATAGAAAAACAAGGCTAAATATTATGTTCATTTGAGTTGGTGTTTATGGCCTGGTGGATGGGAATCAGATTACAAAGATAAGGTTGTCTTCGGTAAGAGAAGTATTTCCATACTATGCATACAAAACTTATAACATTTAGGAGGAGAGTAGCTCTTATATATAAAAAGTTCCTCTAAATCAATATAATGAACATTTGTCCAGCAGAAAAATGGGTGGGTAGCCTTGGGAAAGTCACTTAATTAGTTTCTTCATTTTTAATGTTGGAGAAACAATAGTTCTTCTTTTACAGGGATTAGAATGGTGCTTGACAATAATGTAAACTCTGTTGTTGTTTGCTACATTAGGAACACAGGCATTTTCTAGGGAGAGAAAGACACCTTTCTGTCTGACTGCTCAGATATAAATGGGCCAAAAGGGCAAAAGCAGGGACAGAAGGCCAGTGAGGGGTAATGTGGACATGATGTTAATAAGTGATCAGATGTTCTAGTCAAGAATGCTGTGTGATGGGGTATTCTGGCTGGCTTGGGTCTTCAGGGGCTGGCTCTACCCTTACAGTCATACAAAGTGCCTTTCTCACTAAGAAGGGCCTTTCCCTTGATTTAAATGCTCTGTTGTCACCATCTTTAAATTTTTAGTTATAAACAGGGGCTAAGTTTTACACTACACTCTAGGAGTTACATACTCAACCTGGATAAAATCAAGTTTGTGGATGGATGGATGTGAAGTGTTAAAGGAAAGGAGGCACTGGAGCCAAGGTTTTTGGTTTCAGTGACTGGAACTTGGGATGCCACTGAGGGGAGTGTGATTGGAAAGTAGAAAGGGATTGACCAGGATGAGGAGAGAGGGTGAAAATGGGGGAATGGGAGAAGAGTGAAGATGTGAGGAGAGTAGGGATGGGAGGGAGAGTTTTTCTTTTTTCTTTTCTGGAACATAGAGTCACTTGGGAACACCCAACCCTAGGGGCCTCTTTGGTACTTTCCTCCCACTGGATTTTAATCAGAAGATGTCCCTGTCCACAGTGGCATGACAACAGAAATAATAACAGCTGTGTCCTCCTTGGGGACAATGCCTGACCTCAGAGGGACTATGTATGCAACTGACTTATTTTTAGTTTTTTCTCATTCTTTTCTCCATGGCAGTGGGAATGTCTGGATGAAAAATTCTGAGGCTGAATGCATATGGCTGAATGAAAACCTTTAATTACGAGTTAACGACTTTAATCTGTCTGTAACTTGGTTTCATCCCTAAACCCTACAATTTTAAAGGGGCTTTAAAAAAATGAGGACACAAAATGACAACTGATACAAAGCCATGGCTGTGTTGAAGCCAAAATAGCTGTGGTTGCTCTGGCAGTGACAAACTCTACCCTTCACACCACTGCAACAAAACATATCTCCTTTCCTCATCTGAACCATGAAGTTTTTCTCCACTTCTGCTAGTTCTGCTGACTCAGCATGGAGAAACATATTCTGTCCCTGACCTTGGCAAACACCCACATACACTGCTGTCACATCCACCTGTGTCTTTCTCTGACCCCTTTCTCCTGGGTACCCCATATATTAAACCATCCACAGAGAGCAAAGCTGTACTCCTTTCTATGTCAGTGAAAGAAGGGAGGCAAAAAGAAATTACTCAACCGCCTTAGCTCCTTTACCTGTTGTTGTGATAATAAAATACTCTGACAAAAGCAACTTATGGGACAAAGGGTTAATGTCAGCTCACAGTTCAAGGGACAGTTCATTGCATTGTGGCCCAGCAGTCAAGGCAGCAAAGGCCACCAGAAGATGCCCTTCACATGCAAACACAGTCAGGAATCGGAGGAAGCTCTTGTTCTTTGATTCCTTGCTCTCTTATTCCTTACTTTCTCCTTTTATATTTCAGGATCCCCTCCCCTCAGAATTTAGCTGCCCACAAATTACTATGGCTTTTCTCTGTTCATTATGGTAATCAAGATGGTTCCCCACAGTTATGCCAGAGGCACACCTTGTAGGTGATTCTTTATTTCATTAATCATCACAAGATCTTTTCCCCAAGATCCAATTTCCTACAATTTGTCAGAAGCAAGTGGTAGCTTGGGCAAGATGAGTATGGTGCTTGGCATGCCAACTGCTGACATAACACACTTTGAGAAGAAGCCCTTGGAGTTCCTCAGATATAAATAATGCAATTTTGGAACCACTCACCTTTGGACCTGTTGGAACTGTTGGGAGCTTGTGCAGTGAGGGAAAAATAAATTGGGGAGACAAGTGGGAGAGAAGCCTACTTACTAGCCTGCACTTGATCCAGCCAGGAGAGCAGCAGCTAAGTGCAGGGAGAAGAGTGAGGAACATGTCAGTGCAGGGGGAGAGCTGGGGATGGTGGGGGCCCTCTGAGCACACAGGGCAGGCTGTGGATGGTGCAGCCACCATTCCCATCACAGGGCTGAGAATTCTCCTTGCACAGAAAACATCATAGAGTCAGTTAAGCCTTTCTGTAAGTGAAAAAAAAAAAAAAAAAGAAAGAAAGAAAAGAAAAAGAAAGCCACAAGCAATGACAACACAGTTACCATGAATACCAATGTAGTTAATTTTAATGCCCGAGTATCCCTGTAGTTAATGTATGAGTATTAACATGCTATTACTATATTAACATTAATACAGTTCTTAGTAAGTCCCAAGTAACTGCATTAGTGATTTTTCTCATCACTGTGACAAAAGCAACTTAGGAAGATTTAACATGGCTCACAGTTTCAGGGTACATAGTCCTCTATGTGAGGGAGGCATGGTATCAAGTGGATCAAGGATGGTAGGAGCCTGAGGCTGGGGATCCTGAGGGCCTCACAATGAAGGAAAATGAGGAAGCAGGTCACAATTCCTTAAGCCCTAACCCTCACTGACCTAGTCCTCCTAGCAAAACTTCACCTCCCAAAGATTCCCCAACTTCCCCAAACACAAGTGCCTGGGCGGGGGAGGGGGACATTTCACAATCAAACCACAACAGGTTGATAATTTCAGCTTCTGTTCCATGTGGTTTCTGTAGTAACCATAGATATTCAGCTCAGCCACTGCAGGGCATAATCAGCCATGGGCAAAGTACCAGCAAGAGGGTGTAGGTGAGTCTAACACAACTTTATGTTGTATGCTTTGTGCACCTTGGAATATTTTCTCTTTTGATATTTGTGTGTGTGTGTGTGTGTGTGTGTGTGTGTGTGTGTGTGTGTGTGTGTGTGCATGTGTGTATGTTTATGTGTGAATGGACTGGATTTTTGTTTGTCTTGAGACAGTTGTTTTATTTTTGCAGGTTCAACTTTTTTAATTTAAATTTGCAACAAGCTTGTTTTACATGTCAATCCCTGTTCCCTCACCCTCCCTTCCTCTCATGTCCCCCTCCCAACCTCCATCCCAAAACCATTCTGCTCCTCAGGGTGGGTGAGGCCACCTCAGGGTGGGGGAATCTTCAAAGTCTATCATATCATCTGGAGCAGGGCATACACTCTCCCCATGTGTCTAGGCTGAGAAAGTATCCCTCTATGTGAAACGGGTTCCCAAAATCCATTCGTATACTAATATACTGATCCTCTACCAGAGGCCACATAGACTGCCCAAGGCCTCCTAACTGACACCCATGTTCAAGGGGTGTGGGTTGGTCCCATGCTGGTTTCTCAGCTATCACACTGGGGTACATGAGCTCCCCTTTGTTCAGGTCAACTGTTTCTGTGGGTTTCTCCAGCCTGGTTTTGACCCCTTTACTCATCACTTCTCCCTCTCTGCAACTGGATTCTGCTCAGTGTTTTGCTATGGGTGTTTGCTTCTGTTTCTATCAGCTACTGGATGAAGGCTGTAGGATAGTATATAAGGTAGTTATCAATCTCATTACCAGGGAAGGGTAGCCTCTCCACTATTGCTTAGATTGTTAGTTGGGGTCATCCTTGTAGATCTCTGGACATTACGCTAGTGCCAGATTTCTCTAAAATCTATAATGGCTCCCTCTATTATGTGATATCTTTTCTTGCTGCCCTTTATTCTTTCCTTGGCTCAATTTTCCTGCTCCCTCATGCCCTCTTCCCTCCTCTTCTTCCCTTCTCTTTCTCCTAAGTCCCTCTTCCCTCCTCCCATGCTCCCAATTTGCTCTGAAGATCTTGTCCAGTCCCCCTTCTCCAGGGGACCATGTATGTCTCTCTTAGGGTCCTCCTTGCTTCCTAGCTTTTCTGGTAGTGTGGATTGTTCGATGGTAATCCTTTGCTCTATGTCTAAAATCCATATATGAATGACTACATACCATGTTTGTCTTTTTTTGTGATTGGGTTACCTCACTCAGGATGGTTTCTTCTAGTTCCATCCATTTGCCTGCAAATTTCAAGATTCCATTTTTTCCCCCACTGAGTACTACTCCATTATGTAAATGTACCACATTTTCTCCATCCATTCTTCAATTAACGGGCATTTGGGTTGTTTCTAGTTTCTGGCTACTACAAATAATGCTGTGAACATAGTTGAACAGATGTCCTCATTGTATGAATGTACATCTTTTGGGTATATGCCTGAGAGTGGAATTGCTGAATCTTGTGGTAGACTTATTTCCATTTTCCTGAGCAACCACCATACTGATTTCCCAAGTGGCTGTATGAGTTTGCACTCCCACCAGAGTGGAGGAATATTCCTCTTTCTTCACATTTTCTCCAGCATAAACTGTCTTTGGTGCTTTTGATTTTAGGCATTCTGGCAGGAGTAAGATGGTATCTCAGAGTTGTTTTGATTTGCATTTCCCTGATAGCTAAGGATGCTGAGCACTTTCAAGTGTCTTTCAGCCATTTTAGATTCCTCTATTGAGAATTCTTTATTTAGTTCTGTACTTCACTTTTTAATTGGATTATTTGGTGTTTTGGTGACCAGCTTCTTGAGTTCTTTGTATATTTTGGAGATCAGCCCTCTGTCAGATGTAGAGTTGTTGAATATCTTTTCCCATTCTGTGGGCTGCCATTTTGTCTTGTTGACTGTATCTTTTGCCTTACAAAAACTTTTCAATTTCAGAAGGTTTCATTTATTAATTGTTGATCTCACTGTCTGTGCTACTGGTTTTTTGTTCATGGAGTGGTCTTCTGGGTTTTCTGTACCAAATCGTTCAAGGGTACCTCCCACTTTCTCTTCTAAGAGGTTCAGTGTGGCTGGATTTACGTTGAGGCCTTTGATCTATTTGAACTTAAGTGTGTGCATGGTGATAGATATGGATCTATCTGCAGTCTTCTACACATCAGCATCCAGTAATGTTAGCACCATTTGTTGAAGATGCTTTCTTTTTTCCATTGTATAATTTTAGCTTCTTTGTCAAAAATCAGGTGTTTATAGGTGTGTAGGTTAATACCAGAGTTTTCAATTAGATTCCATTGGTCTTCTGGTCTATTTTTGTGCCAATACTAAGCTGTTTTCAGGACTATAGCTCTATAATAGAGCTTGAAGTCAGGGATGGTGAGGTCTCTGGAAGTTCCTCTATTGTATAGAGTTGTTTTAGATATCTTGGGTCTTTTGTTTTTCTGTATAAATTTGAGTATTGTTCTTTCAAGGTCTATGAAGTATTGTTCTGGGATTTTGATGGGGATTGCATTGAATATGTAGTTTGCTTTTGGTAAGATTGCCATTTTTACTATGCCATTTTTACTCCTATCCAAGAGCATTGGAGATCTTTCCATTTTCTGGTACCTTTAATTTCTTTCTTTAAAAACTCAAAGTTCTTATTATACAGGTGTAAGTAATAGGGTTTTTCCGCGCGCCACCTAGTCTTGTCCCGCCACCATGCCAGCCCCAAATAACACACAGAGACTCTGTATTAGATATAATGTTATTGGCCCTGTACTTGTTTCTTATCGGTTAGCTCTGTATTAATCCATTTCTGCTGATCTATGTATTTCTCTTACCAGGGAGCCGGCCAGCATACTCCTTTCTCCAGACTCTCCATCTTGGCTCCTCCTTACTTCTTCCTATTTCCTCCTTGTCTCCTAGTCCCTCCTATCTTCCTTTCCTATTGGCCAACAGTGCTTTATTCATTAACCAGTATGAGAAACACATACAGAATGGCATCTCCCATCATCATAGGTCTTTCACTTGTTTGGTTAGTGTCATCCCAAGATATTTTATGTTGTTTGTAGCTATTGTAAAAGGTGATGTTTCTCTGATTTCTTTCTCAGCTCCTTTATTGTCTGTATACAATAGGGCTACTGATTTTTTGAGTTAATCTTGTACCCTGCTACTTTGCTGAAGGTGTTTAGCCTTGATAGAGTTTTTTTGGGTCACTTATGTAAATTATCATTTTATCTGCAAATAATGAAAATATGACTTCTTCCTTTCCAATTTGTATCCCCTTGCTATCTTGAGACTTTTGTTATGTATGTCAAACTAAGATCCTCTATGCTTGATGTGGGATTACAGGCATGTGCTGCTCCGCCTTGCACATTGGTTGAGTTTTGAATTTTGAAGCATCCTTGCATTTCTGTGGATAAACCTTATTTGGTCATGATATTTTATCCTTCCAAGCTACTAGATCCCACATGCAAATATTTTTGGTACATTTGTGTTCATGCTCATTAGGAATGTTTTTGTGTAGTTGTGCTATTTAATGTATTACACACTGATTACATGTGTTATATAAATTGAGGTATAAATGGCTTAGATTATGACATATAATTCAAAATTTTCTTTTTATGTTACAGTCACATGCCAAGGCCTCTATGTATTTCTCTTACCATATCTCAAAACCTGAATGTGGCTTGTGGCCACTATCTTGAATGATATAGTTTTTCCCATGACCCTCAGATTTTGAATGCATTTAAGAAAAGTAGTAACTTATAATTTTTCTTCCCTTTGTTCAAGTGAAATTCCTGTTAGCTTGCTGTCTCCAGGGAGAAATGGGGCTTTCCCTGGCTGGTCATTTAATATCTATTTTTCTCCTAAAAGCACTCTTGAAAATTCCCAGGATGGAAGGGGTCACCTCAGAATTATTATAATATCAAAAGTTGATTTAACTAAAAATGGTAAGTGTTTTAATTGGGTGAGTTCTGGGAAGAATCAATTTGTTTCCTTAAACGATGCATAAGGTAAACATGGTATTTTGCAAGCCAGGTCTTATCCTGGAAGTACTTTCTGAGGCTAACTTTATAAAACACAAGAATACAGGATTGTTCAGGAAGCTCTAATGCAGCATCTCCCTTGGCATGATATGAATTATACAACTGTAATTTTGCTATCATTCAGAACTCTATCAAAGGGTATTGTCATGCCCATGGGGTCTGCCTTCTGCATGGAGAATCTTTAGGTGTGAGTTTTTATACTGCACATCTCTTTTGAACAATTAAAGCTCATGTTGCACATGTAATTTCCAAAGGCATAAAGACCTCAGGGAAGGAGGACTTTCACTCCAGCTGGGCTCAAGCCAG